TTAATGCCTCTGAAAGCTCCCTCACAGAAAGTTACTACACAAAATGGTTATGAATATGCTACCTGATGCCTGATTGTTTTGTGATAGTTTTGTGATACAGCTTTGACCTAAAATGTCTTGTTAACCCATTTTAATCTATTCAAGGCAAAGGGGTACATACAGGGCATTGTAAGGCAAAATAGTCCCCTCCAGAAAACGTATTTTTCAGATTTTCTGCTATTTTACCATCATAAATTTTGCATATAAAAACTTTGAAGGCTCTAAAGGTTCACTGGTGTTTCTGGATGATAAATAGACTTAGAACTTTAGACCTTGAATCCAGATTACAATCCTGGATTTGTAATCACTGGTGATTAACTGAATTGAAACGGCCACCTGGTGTCATACCTACCAGCAATTACTAAATCCAGGTACAGGAGATTGGCTTTAAGGTCCAGACCCCTGATCTGGAGTAGTTCCATTCCATATCCTAACAAACTCTCACCATCCCATTATGAGAAATCTGTTTCTGCACAATTTATCAGCCCCCTTCTCCCTCTTTCATTTCAGTTTCTGATCAAAGGGCCGCTGTTTTTCAGATATTATTGAGATGGTGCATCATTCTCAGCACTGCAGTTACACTTACTTGGTAGTATGTGTGGTGCTGGGACGAGTGTTTCAGACCCAAGAGCAGTACTGAGGTCCAAAACTGACCGATAATGAAGGACTAGAGGATGGCTAACACAAACTGTGCATCAACAGATGAGCTCTAAACATTCACCAGAAAAACAGGCCAAACTGTAGGTGTTCCTAATAGTGTTGAGTTAGTGTACAGTGGGCAGATGGTCTCAGATCAGCCCTCTGAAGGACACTTACACACCAGTAATGGATAACATGCATGTTTACAGATACTTTCCATACTGTGTTTATGTTTATGATGAATCGAGCAGAAAGGCACACAAGCATGGAGAAAACATTCGCTCTCACACAGAGATAACATCACTGCACAGTCTGTTGACATGAGCGCTTAGACGCTTCCAAAACTAGACGCTCACTCAAAGACTCCCTCTCTCTGGGGAAAGAAGAGGAGACACTGCAAAGGGAAAAAAGCTGGGAGAAGCCTCAACTGAGCACAGATGAAAGGCCTAAGCGGAGTGGCGTGCCAGTGTCTGACTTCATTTCATTATCCAATAAGAGCGGAGTTTGGTAGAGTGCAATTTCAGCTCATTATCCAAACAGGCTGCTGCATGACAGCGATGAGCTGAGACTGCAGGCTAAAATATCAACTATAAACACATCTCATACATACACACACACACAGGCACACACACACACACACACACATATACACATACATACACACAGACACACACACACAGACACGCACACATAGACACACAGACACACACACATACACACAGACATGCACACATAGACACACAAACACACACAGACACACGTATGCACACACACATCAACACACACATGCACGCATACACAACCTGGTCCACACATACACATGCACACACACACACACACATGCACACACACACACACACACATTCATACACACTTTGGGGTCCAAAAGTCTAAGACCACCAGTGAAAATGCTTTCATTTTGCATTCTTTTCTAATGTAATGCAAGTTCTTCATTCCAAATGATATTATCAGCATTACAATCTGAGTGAAAAGTAGAATCTTTTTTATATTTACATGAATTTCAGAATTTCTGCGTCCATTTCGCTTTAATGACTCTCTCGAGCTGCATGGACTCCACAAGTTCGTACAAAAGCCTCTCATGAGCAGATCAGATCCACCTGAGAGTCGTCTTAACACGAGCCTCACTGGAGGAGATAAGACTCACAAAAACATCTGATCTTTTTTTTACAAAGGCCTCAACATCAACGCCACAACTTATATTTTGCTTCATTTAATGTCACCTCAAATAGTGTTGAATCATCAATATTTCTTTTTCACTTTATCTGCTAAAACTGTTTTTTGTTGTTTATTTGAAGGTTTAAATGAGATAAAATGATTTTCTATGTGGTCACAGAATTTTGTACTCCACTGTACACACAAACACAAACACACACACATATACATATACACATGCAAACACACAAACACAAACATACACACACATACATATACACACAAACACACAAACACAAACATACACACACATACATATACACACAAACACAAATATACACATATATACATGTTAACATACACATGCACAAACACACACAAATGTAAACACGCACCTACACACACACACACAGTCTGGTAGAGTCCATGCTTTGGCGGGTCAGAGCTGTTATGGGGGCATGCAGAGGACCAACAGCATATTAGGCAGGCGGTCATAGTGTTTTGGTTCATCAGTGTATATGTGTGTACAGCATGTTAGAGACTGAGTAGAAAGCTTTCAGTATAGACTGTAAATAGATGAAGAAAACAGTTGATATTTACTATAAGAACCTTTTAGTTCAGGCTGGTCAGGATAGAATAATCTGCCATCTCTTTTCGAGAATCACACACATACAACTGCACAAAAACACACACACACTGAATGAGTTTGAGAAGTTTATATCTTTCAGACATCAGGTATCCCTGTGAGACATTCAGGCTTTATGAGATTTGTGCTGTGGTTGTCATGGGGATAGTTGAAACACTGTACCACACTTTGTCCCTAAAGTGCACCCGTCCAGGAAACGGCCCATAAAGACTTCAGAGAGATGTTCCAACAACAACATCCCTGACTGGACTAGCGTGCAGACAACGGCACACGGGTTCACGAAAAAGTTTAATATGCACACACGCGCATGCAGACACACATACACGCATGCAGACACACTAACACACACAGCGGTTTGCTTTCATACAATGCCAGGAGAGGTAACACTAATGTTCTATATTATATGTATTATTATAAGTACCTGTGTGTAATAATAATATTAATAATATTTACTGTACTGTGAAAAAGTCAGAGACCACCTTTCACTTTATTTTATCTTCAGTCAAAACAGTAATTAAGTACAAGTTATTGATTCTTCAGAGTCAAAAAAGCAGAAAACATATATTTAACAGAAGTTTACACAATAGCCTCGACTAAATATAATGCCATATTGTTCAGTATTTAGTATGTCCACTCTGCCTTTATTACAGCTTCCATTCTTTTCAGGAGACCTGCTGCTTGAAGAAATCTACAGGAATATTTTTTCCACACAAGTTGGTTGCATTTTCTGCTTCCCACTATCCCAGTAATCCCAAACAGATTCAATGATTTTGAGGTCTGGTCTAGGCCGGTCAGTTCATTGTTCTAAGGACACCAGCAGCTTCTTTTACTTTACTTGCAAATGTTCTACTTTGTATCTATTTCCTTTTGTTAGTAAGAGCTTCTTAACAGCTACACATCCTTTCAGACCCATAGCGCTTGGAGCTTCAGTCCATCCTCTCTCAAAGAACTATGTCTGAGCACTTCACTGGAACTGAGGTCTGGAACCGTATGAGCAGCTTGTTTAAGGCATGAATGCAGCCAAAACTGACCATATAGCACCTGCTAGCACTATACTAACATTGCCAACAATTAATCTGGGCCTGGGAAACTGCCCCAAACTGTGCTAGCTAGATCTGTATGTGCTGCTGGGCTTCGTCCATGTAGACAGCAACACTGACATTCTTCATTCTACATATGGAAAGACTGTTTTTCTTTTTGCTTATCTCATGATCACGACATATTTTCATCTGAAATGTAGGACCATGCAAACCTAAATTGCTCAGTCCTGAGATCGTTCAGCTGTGAGATATTTCGGGGTCCTCAGAGAGCTAGAATATATTGTCGCTGTCCTAAGAAAAACATATATCTTAAAAACAGGTCCACAAACTTTTAATGCAAGTTCTTATAAAGAGGTTTTCATTGCAAGTGCTTTTTGGTCCATTCATCATGAAACATCATGATGAATGAAGCACACAGTGTAAAGGAAAACTGCCATGTTTAAATGATATAGAAAAATAAAAATGGGTAAAAATGGAGATGCATGATCTTCTTTGGACAGCAATGATATACAAGTATTAATTCTGATCAAAGATGTATCCAAGAGAGAGAGTCCACCATCATCAGTCAGCCGTCATCAATAAAGCAACAATAATGCTTTATGGTAAAAATCTGCCATCAGGGCAGTTACCAATCAGTTATGAGAGTCTGATGACACTGCGTGCAACAATTAGCATATCTTGCTGTGATTTTTCTTTTCACATTTAAATACATGTATATATGTACGTGTTGTAAGCTATCTTATACAGTGCTGTCTGGCTAGCTTACTTATCATAAGACTCATATATAACCTGTAATGAATGCAACCTTAATGAATAAGTTCTATGGCCTGTGTGTTTAAAATGTTTTCTTAATGTTGTGCACTGAAAAAAATGATGCATTTAATTTACTTAATTATTCAAATAAATAATTTCCTCATTAATGACTAAAATATATTACATCAAGACAGTTTAGTCTTGCAGTTTACTTTCAGTAATAGGAAATATGTGGAAATGATGGACTGATTTAATTATGTACAAAAAAAACAATGAATTTAGGTGTCATTTTAATACAGTAAGACTCTTTTTTGTTCTTAGCAGCATGCCACCACAGTAACATCTCTGGGTCTTACATGACCCCCCTTTCTAATAGTTCTACTTAAGCCCCTGATTCTAATACTAGGCTTGTTTCACTAATGACTTCAGCTCCACAACAGACATGATTTTATTAAGTTAAACTGTGTATCGTGTGTTTGTATGTTTATTTATATGTTGTTTGTATGTTGTATTTATACCCCACCATGTTGAGTACCAGGATTTTATAATATACGTCTATTCACACAGACACAAAGCCATTACATTAAAATGACGCTGCAAGGCCTCTTTTATTGTTCGTGATTACGATCATGGAAAAGCTTACAACCCTTCTGCACAGCAGTAACACATATATTGAGCTTATGTCACCCTCTAGTGGTGTGTAAGAGAAAAAAAATGGCAAACCAAGGAAAAAGAGTGTCTTTCACGATTGTTTGAATTAATTACCAACAGTGTAACTATATTAGTTTAAAAATCAGCTTGAAGAACATTAAATTGAACAGAATCACATATCAAACCCAATTACATTGATGTCAATAAGAATAATGAATGAAGTATAAGAATAATCCCATAGAGCTATAATGTAAATATGGCTAAAATGTGCAAACAGAGGACACGGAAGACATTAAATACACTTAAATCTCCAAACATTTGCAGACATCCCTGCTATACTCCCAAGAGTAACTACTGAGTCAGTCAGTAACTGACCTCACTAATGCTCTGGATGCAATCAAATTCTCACAGCGATGTTCCACCATCTAGTCTAAAGCCTTCCAGTCTTTGTCCCTGTTCAGTCCTCTATAGAGTCTTCTTCATTCATTCTGGGAAGGGAAGGTCTTTATTCACTGTAAAGAGAAGTTAAGATCTTGTTAGCTTTACTGTTGTGTGTTCCAAGAACTCAGGAGATGAATAAATACTGCTGCTTTCCTATTGTTCAAGTGACATTACATATATACAGTACAGTGCAAAAGCCAGAGACCACCCTTCATGTATAAAGCCCTCCTTCTTTTATGAAGTATGAAGACTATTTTACCATGGCCTATTTGTTTTACATTTTTACAGTGCCTTTCATCTTTTAAATCAAGGAAATGTGTATTTAACAAAAAATACACAGAAGCCTCAACTGGGAGCACGGGAGGCGTGGCCATGCAAAAAAGGCCATGTGAAGAGGCTTTCGGGAGGTGCCGTGCTCCCAGTGAGAAGAAAGACTTGTTCTGATGTTGTTGTGGACGTTACTAGTGTACAGTGTTATTTGTGCTACTCTGAGCTGGACTGTGGGACCTGCCTGCTATCCCAGCAGCTTGAGTAGCACTGGGCAGTGGTTCTCCATTGTTGTCCGTTCAATAAAAGAGCATGAACAATATCTCCCGTGTCTTAATCTACGCCAACGCCACAGTATTAAGTGTTGCATCATTTAGTTTGTTGATGCTTTGGTTTTGCTTTCAGTTTTACAAAGAAATCTGCAGGGATAATTTTCCACGTTTTCCCATTTTTCCAAGTTTGAACTTTGAAGTTGGTTGTATTTTCTGCTTCTAACAACCCAAGTAATTCCAAACATAACATTCAGTGGGGGTTGTTCTAAAAACCATCAGCTTCTTTGTTTCTTGAGTCCTATTTTCTCTTTATCCTTTAATCATTTTTTTCAACTCCTGTTTTGGAAAATTTTTTCTGACCTTTGCAGGTCAATGACAAATAAGGTTTTCAAATTGACAGTCTTTAAAAAGGACATGATGTGTATCTTTATATTTGCATTTATATCTAAGTGCATTTTACATCTTAAACAGTTAGTGTTATAAAAGCTTTTAATTGTCTATTTCTATTTCTTTAAACACTGCTGGTCTGGTTGCACCATTTGACTTACGGTTGTGCCACCTGACTTTTCAGACTAATTTCAAATTAAACAGGCATATACTTAGACGCCCACATAAATATTTATCCTCGAACCTGAGTTTCATACCTTATTTTCAAATAAATAAACATTAAAATAAAAATGACACATTTTTATGGCTCTCCCGAGCTCAGACCACCTGACAGGGAAAACTGAACTGTTCTATTCAAAAATGACATTTTTTCTGAAATGTGTGAAAGGGCTACTGACTTTGGTATTGCACCATGAAGGCCACTTGGGGTCTTCTTTAACAAGCAATACACTTACCCCTCTTTTCGTAAAAAGCATGTCATATATATGCACTGAAAATTGTTTCGAATAAAAGATATTGTCATGCCAGGGACCCTTGCACAGTACCATACAGATTAGACAGTGAGAGCTAACACTCTCCAGGAAAGCATCAAACTTGTGTGGAGACTTCAAGAACAGATTTGGTCCCTAATCAAGCACAAATCATTACCCAACAAACCTGCATCTTGTATATTATCAAACTGTGCAGCAATTGCAGACATCACTGCATTCCGCAGGGAACTCATGACCTCTCTGATGTGAGAGTTGAAGTTTGGTTGATGTGGGTCAGGAGCCCGGGGAATTGAAACGGACCGCGCTGTTGGCAGCAGGGGAACATTCGTAGGGAACTGTGGAAAAAAGAGACACTTTTCCCAACAGCAAAGAAACAAAAACACTTTACATACCTTACATTTATTTTACTGTTCGTGTGAACTACACAAACAACACTAATACCAGCGCACAGTAGCCCACCTGCTGTAGCTGGAGGTAGTTATGTGTGTCCGAAAGGCCCTCCAGCATTTTATCTATCCCTCTTAGATCACTGATCTCTCTTTGCAGCCTCTGTACTGCACCCGCTGCCCTCTGATGGACTTGTATCTCTCTGCTATTGATCATTGTGTCCACTCCTCTTTTCCACTTTTCTATGAATTCAGTTAAGTCGGTGAAGGTCCTGGCATTGACTTGTTTCGCCATAGAAGCTGACTGCTGTTGGACAGACCACAGAATCCCATTTTTTGAGACAAGGAAACAAGGCAATATGACAGACCACAGAACAACAGCTGAAGAAAGAAAGAGACATGAAGTCACAGTTCACACATATTAGCCTTGAAGTGCTTAAAATTGTAGAAGAAAAAAGGTAATGCAGTCAAAGGCAGACTTACTGTGTTACACATTCACTCTTTGTTGAAGCCATACCTTAAATGTAAAGCAGCGACACCTGCTGGAGGTTTTATGTTTGGTCTGATATGCTAAGGGTTAATAAATATGGTCCCATTTTTGAGCTGGGATAGGTAACGTGGAAGGTGCCAAAAAAGTCTAGATGTAAGCTTTTTCTAGGCGTTCCATGTTATTTAATCTTGAGGGCTGTTGAAAACCTCTGTAAGAGTGCCTAATGGTAGAGACATGGAATTATTTAAAGGGCCTACCTTTTCTGTGTGTCTTGAATTTACAACATTTGTGAGTGTTTAAGTACCAAAAATGGTAAACCGTGTTTTTACCTCATCGTGGAGTTCCAGCCCACGCATTGTACAGTAAATCTGTGCCCAGATTTAAAAGTGCCAGGTATGGGAGTTGCTTTTAATGACAAGAGGCCAGAGCTGCTCCATACAATCAGCTTATACTAAGCTGGTTTTGGGTTAGTTTGAGTTTAGCACCTGTAGCCAGATAGCTTAGCATTTGTCACCAGACAGCTAAAAACAATCTGTTTACTTTTTAAATTATGAATATTACAAAATTCATGGCCGTGCTGTGCGTGCGAGAGTGCTGCTTTAACCAGCTGGTAAAAACAGCTAACCTGGGAAACTCGCTTTCTCCCACCATCCCATGACAGATTTGCAAAGTGTTCTACTGTTTGTCAAGTGTTTGTCATGTTCTAACCATAAAGCATAGTTTAAAACCAGAGGAACAAAAATCAGCCTTTAAACTTCGAAGAAATAATGATTTGACATTTATCAGGATAATTATTGATATCGACTAATATGAATTTTTTTATTTTGATAACATTTTTGGCCATATCGCAGTCAATACACAATGTATGTAGTGTTAGTGTGAATGAAAAGTTTGTTACTTTTGGGGTTCCAGAGGTACAGAGCCCTGGAGGGGATGGAGAGAAAAATAAAAAATAATTTGAGTGAAGGTTTTGCAGTTTTCTTTTACTCATAGTCACAATTTTTTAATTTGTTCCCACAATTAACAATTCAATCTCTCGTTTTTTTTTATTCTGCGTATGTTTTCTGTACTTTGTGAGTACAATTTTAAATTCGTGATCACAATTTCTCAATTTCATTCTCTCGTTTTCTCTTAATCGTGCTCATGTTTTTAATTGAAACCTTGTTTTTTTTTGTTTTTGTTTTTTATTTGTGCGCAAACAAAATAAATGTAGTAGACACAGGCCATTATTTAACAGCTTCCTGAGACTGCCTGACAGGTTTTGATGTTAGTTTGATGAGATAATGGACAGAGATGCTGATCAGGTCTGATTCTGATTTGGGGGTGTTATGAAGACACTGTAGCTCATCTTCAGAGCAAACGGCCCACAGATTGATCAGTGCAGTTGCAGTTTGGTGGTGAATTGAAGGTAGAAATAAACTACAATCACAATCTTCACTAAACTGCACTTTCTAATGATTATATTTAACAGAATTGAAGCCGCAGCGCAGCCACTTAGCCCTGTTTCTGCTCGTGAGTCAAGCTGAGGTGTTAGAGACCATCACAGAATTACAGGAAGAAATGTTCAGCATCAACGTTTCAGCAAACTCAAATTAAACAGACACAGAAACCTGGGATGAGGTCAAATGGCGAAAGAGTTTAACAGATCTATAGATTAGGTATATTAATGTGAGGATGTTGAAACGCTGAACTTTTCTTCGAGTAGTTGTGTGATGGTCTCTAACACCGCAGCTTGACGTGGGAGCCGAAATAGTCCTAAGCGGCTGCACTGCGGCTTTTTCTCTGAATAAAAGAAAACATGCGTACGAACTGCGAAACAAATCCAAGTATAATGTGGAGCGGCCCATCACTAATTTTGGCCGAGAATTGATCTTGTGATGCCTGGCGAATGACCTTAAAGACCCTGAGGACATAGGTAAAGTTTTGCCTGATGGACAGGACTGCACAGGAATCTTGCGTGCCTTTGCTGGAGGTTTTCTTGCAAATTTCAGTGGAAGTGTGGACTTGAAACTGACAAAGTTACATTTCATAAGGATCCTCTCTTCAAAGCCCCACCTCGCACAGCACAGTCAGGCAAAGACCATGTTCACAATCTTGAACGGGGTGTGGTTCTTCCTGGAGGCATCAAATTTGGGTGTGTCTCAAAACCTAAGCTGCTTTCCATTCCATAGATTTTACAAATCTATGAAGCTGTTCTGTACATCTCAGAAACGTTTCAGAATCTATCAGTGCAGAGATCATACATTTTCTCATTTATCTCCAGAACTTCTTCCAATGCTTATGCTAGGCTCCTCTTTTCTCCTGATGAGTGCAATTCAGAAACAATTCAGAAACTTGGCATCCAAGATACTTTACTCCTCTAAATACTAATAAGTTATAAAACAAAAGTTTCTTTTGGGAACTAAATTTATACGTACCTTAGTTGCTAATTATGCTAATTATCCAGAGGCATTCATGGCAAGTAGATAAAATTAATGAAGGCAAACCACTACAGATGGACATACAGGTTTTTGGTGTACATGCTTGCAAATTTTAAAGCTGTTCTTTTTTTGTTAGCTAGGAATAAATACGATGAATGAACTATACTTACCCCAGGATGGTTGTACTGATGTACCTGTTTTTCTTTCTCTTGCGTTATCCATCTGATGTATTTCTGGAGATTCATTGATGATATTGAACATTTTCAATAAAATAAATAAGTAAAAAACAGTAATAAACATTTTTATTCAATAAACAACATGTCTTTTCTCTGAAGCTTTTTGTTCAAAACTTCTTTTTAACATTCATGTGTAAAAAAAAAAATATATATATATATATATATATATATATATATATACACTTCCCTACCTGCCTTTCTATTCTTTCTTGCTCCCATGTAAGAACAATGTGCCCTTTGTGCTGGTCTGCTAGACAACCAAGGCAAATGCACTTCTGGTCAACACGACAGTAAAGGTCCAGGAGTTTGCTGTGCTGAGGACAGATAATGGCCTCCAGCCCAGGCAGGGCATCAGTCAGAAGGTGTCTCTGTAGGCCCACTGATGTACGGTGAGGCTCCACGTGGCATTCACAGTACGAGACCATACACTGCAGACAGGACTTCACTGCTTTGTGCTTTGTTATGCTACATATGTCACAAGGCACTTCTTCAAGCCACCCGGTAAAAGGAGAACAAGGTCTTTCAGGCTCATGTCTTCTCCCTCTTTCGACCATTTCAGCAAGTGAGGTGTTCTTCTTCAGTAGAACGTCATGGCTGATAATGCTCCGGCAAGTAGGGCAACTTCTGCTTTGCCTCAAGTATGTAGAAATGCAGGAGTTGCAGAAGTTGTGTCCACAAGGAGTCGACACCGGCTCATTAAGCAGACTCTGGCAAATTGCGCAGTCCAGCAAGCCATCTTCCACTGTGATGGTAAACGCCATTGGAAAGCAGTGAAAGCTTGTGGGCTAGACTCCACCGTATATAACCAGACGCCAGCACCCCCTTCTTACACCTGTTTTACAGGAAAACGGAACTCACAGTCACTGTTCCGTGTGTCACGCGGTAATTATGTGGGTTGTTGGAACACATGCACAGTAGGACAGCATGACTGTGCCATATGAACAGGAAAGTTGAGTGTTACGAGCGCTAGCATTCATATTTCAACCAGTGGCCAGTCTCCTCATTTGTAACGTCTCTGATGTAAACAGCAACTGTTTGTGCTGGTTGTATGTGTTTCCATGCATATTACCATTCAGGAAGGGATTAATGTTGCCAATATACGATTCAGCCATTGGTAACTGGTTAAACCATAAGGCAAACACATTACAAAACCAACAGAAACATTTAATGGTTTCTATGGGTTTGTTTTAGCCTAAACCTTAATATTATGCTCAGTTTAAGCCTGCTTAGGATAAAGTTTTATTACACATGTAAGTGTACACATAAAGCCCCCGTATTAAGGGTAAGTTAACTGAGCTATATGTGGACATAACCCATTAGCTTACCGAGGCCACATAAGCTGTAGTTTGCGTAATATCGACCCTGTGAATCGCTATATGTGTTTTAGCCTAAAGCTTAAAATATAATGTTAGCCCAACGCAAAATTATCACAAAATTATTGGAAAGCCACATAAAATGACTGAAATGTTGATTAGTCTAAAACTCACTAAGAGAAACCAAAGCAAGTGTCGGCGCATGCGCTGAATGGCACTGGCTTGAACCTGCTGGAGTGAAACTGCTGGCGTGAAACTGTGACTCTGCGGCTCTGCAGACAGATATTACTGGGGGAGTGCTCTATAATGCAAACCTGCTCTACAGGGACGACAGTACATGCACGTCTCAGAGATTTATATCAGTATACCATCAGAACATGGTGCGATTTAGCATCATTATCTCCGGTTTCATCGCTGAGGTGTCAAAACAGCCTCAGTTCTTTTAGGTAAGAAGACGTGGGAGGAAGAAAAGAAAAAAAAAAAGGGAGGGAGTACTCACTCACATTGTATCTCTACAAACTCTGGTCTTACAGACTTTATATAGTTAACCCATTTTAACTAGAATTTTACAAATTTTGTCATCTTCAGTCTAATAGAAAAAGTCATTTTTTCCATTAGATTATTTCACCAGGTTTATCCAGTCATCCAGTGTAGGAGGATCAGGAGACAGCCACTTCCTTGTTATAACTTTTTTACTTGCAATTAATAGAATATTCCATAAATATTTGTCTGATCTTGCCACATCAAAACCCAGTACCCCTAGAAAAAGTGTATCAAATTTACAGGGGAATTCTAAACTAAATATATTTTTCAGTACTTTGCGCAAGTCTTAATATTGAGCATTCCCAAAATACATGCCAGTGACTGGCTTCCTGCTCCCACACATCCTCCAACAGCCCTGATTTTCCGCAGGTTTTTTGCTTTGGGGTAATAAAAAATCGAGTAACACACTTCCACCCAAATTCTCTCCAAACATATGAATTAGTACATTTCCACTGAAGTCACATAAATACATAATCTAAACCGCTTATCCTTCTGGGTTGCGGTGTCCGCTGAAGTTCACATATCTTAATCCATATTTCACTTGAAATGGTAATACTGCTCTCTTTTTCCCATTTTTGCTTTACATACTCTGTCGAATGTCCTTCCTTTACCGTTAAGGCTTTATACATTTTGGATATGATTCCTTTGTGAGCCTCAGACTGATAAGCTCTGATAAACAAATGTAGTATTTCATCATTAATACTGTTGAGTGTATCATCTTTAATTGTTTTATCAAAATAAAATGTCGTAACTGAAGATAAAGGTAAAAGTCCTGATTTTCAATGTTTCTTTTAGAGACGGAAAATCTCTCAGTCTGATATATAATATTGCAGTACGCTGTTATACCCTTTGTCAGCCAAATTTTGAACCTACTATCCAGCTTATTTGGTATGAACTCAGAGTCATAGTTGCACCATCGAACATTTCACTTAAATTGTATTCTTTTACTACTTTAGTCCAAATTTTTTATTGGGTTTTTATCCAAAGATTCCCTATGATGTCTACTTTTTTAACTAAATCACTATTTCCTATTATTGCCTGAATAGGGGGGTTCTTTATCAATGACGATTCTATATCCATCCATCTTGCTTGATAAGCAGGGTTGCATGCAAAAATTAAGGGTCTTGTCTGAGCTGCAAAGTAGTACTTTTTGAAATTTGGTAAACCCATGCCTCCTCTGTCCTTTGGAAGCGGCAATGTCCAAAATCATATTCTTGGTTTCCGTCCCTGCCATATATACCTTGAAATGATTTTGTCCCATTCTGAAAAAATGTTTGGAGGGATTTTGATGGGGAGTGCTTGAAATAGAAAAAGGAGACATGGAAGTACATCCATTTTTATAGATTCAACCCTTGGGTTGAGGCTAAGAAAAGGAATCAAGCTCCGTCTTTGAATATCAGTTTTAATCTTAGCAATAAGGGGTCCAAAATTAATCTCAATTTAGACAATTTAGAAAGGTCTTTGGGTAGATTAACTCCTAAATATTTTAATGAATTGTAATCCCACCTAAAATGATATTTTTGTCTAAGGTATTTTGGGGGATCATAATTAAACGTTAAAACTTGAGTTTTCTGAACATTTAACTTGTATCCTGAGAATACACTGTAAAGTTCTATCACTTTCATTAACTCATGCATATAGCGCCAGTTTGTGTTCATCACCCTTTATGGTAATACCTTTTATCAAGGTGTCTTGTCGTATCCATTGGGCCAAAGGCTCTATGTACAAAGCAAAAAGAAAGGAAGACAGAGGGTAACCTTGTCTCGTTCCACGTTCCAAAATAATAGTATCGGACAAGTTACCATTTATTTTTATTCACGCGGCTGTTCTATTATACAGTGCTTGGATACTTTGGATAACTTCTTCATGAAACCCAAACCTATTTAAGACTCTATAAAGATACTTCCAACTCACTAAGTCGAAAGCTTTTTCTGCATCTAGACTTATCAAAGAGGCTTCCAGATTGTGCTGTTTTATATAATTAACAATATGCAAGGTACGTCTTATATTATCATGTGTTTGTCTATGTTGAATAAACCCTGTTTGGTCATATCTTATAATCTGGGGGAGAATCTTCTCAAGTCATTTGGCTACAACACTTGCATATAATTTATAGTCCATGTCAAGAACTGAAATTGGTCGATATGATCCGCATTCGAGTACTATCTTTTCCTTCCTTAGGGGTAACAGTAATAATTGCCTCACTCCATGATGGGGGCATTTTCCCTTGAGTCAATGTATAATTGCAAGCTGAAAGAAGATTTGGTAATAACTCTGCCTTGAAAACCCTATACCATTCAGCTGTAAATCCATCTGTACCGGGAGATTTATTTGACCTAAGGGGTGAAATAGCTGCATTTAGCTCCTCTGGTGTTGTCTTAGCTTTTAAATCTCTGTTCTGTTCTTCTGTTAGAGTAGGTAGTTGGCAAGAGCTAAGGAATGCGTCAATCTGTTCCCCATCCTCGGAATGTGGTTGTGTATATAGTTTTTCATAGTATTTTTAAAGGTGGGTTGAATTTCATCCCATTTGTATAGCACATTTTTCGATTTGGGGTCTCTTATTTTATATATAGTATTGTCTGCCTGGTATTTTTGTATTATGTTCTCTAAAAGTTTGGCTGATTTTGGTCCTGATTCATAATATTTCTGTCTAGTAAATACTACCTTTTTTTCTATTTCTTGAGTGTATAATATATTTATTTCATTCATAATTTTAAGAATTTCTGACATGATATTTGGGTGTTGTTTTTCTTTATGTTTAATCTCTAAATCTTTTAATTTAACATTCAATTCTACTAGTTTCAATTGCTGCATCTTCTTTTTAAGAGCACAGCAACTAAGATTTTGCCTCTAATAACTGCCTTTAAAGCATCCCATAAGATCTCAGGTTCAACTTCACCATTATCATTTTCTTCTAGAAATACTTTTAATTCTTGTTTCATTTGCTCTTTGAACTGGGGACTGTTGAGAATACTTGTGTTTATTCTCCATGTTCTATTTCTAGGGCTATTATTAAGCAGTACAGACATTGAAATCGGTGCATGATCAGAGAGGTCAATATTACCTATATCACATCGTAGTATTTTGTGTCTGTCTCTTTTATAAATAAAAAAATTAATCAATTCTTGAATACACCGAGGGGGGGAATGAATAATGAGTGTAGTCACGCCCAGTTGGATAACAGTCCCTCCAAAGATCCACTATTCCCATTTCCTCCATTAACATTTTTATTTTTTTGTGCAGTAGTGTTATTCTTTGGGATGTGTTTGTCAAATCTAATTTCAGACTGAGATGAATATTCCAGTCTCCTCCACATATCAAAATACCTGATGCATCAGCCATTAGTCCAAACATTTTCTGGTAAAACTTAAGGTTGCTACCCAGGGGAGCATATACATTCAATAATGTTAATTCAACACCCTCTATTCTTCCAGAAAGTAAAATGAACCTCTCTTCCTTGTCTTTAATTTCCATAAATTGTTCAAAGGGGATACGGTGAAATGTTAATATAGCCACACCCCTCCTGTGACCAGATTTATATGAGGAAAAAGAGATTTTTGAAAATACCATTTGTTTTAGTTTCTCATGTTCAGAAGCACTCAAGTGGGTTTCCTGCAAAAAAACAATTGATGCTCCTTCTTTCTTCATTTTGGTCAAAGTTTTGCTCCTCTTAGTAGGGTTGAGTACTCCATTAACATTAAAAGAAATGACTTTCAATTCTGTGTTAGCCATGAAGTCTCCTCTATAATATCGTCAACACTCCTTCTCTGAAACACAGTTTGCCAAAATAAACCATTAGGCACCTCCCCTTTAGCTTTCATGAACAATAAAGCAATGTAACCTAACAAAGACATAAATGAGAACATCGTTAATCACACAAACTCTGTCAACACAATGACTTCCAGTGTTGAGGTTCGTTTTAAAAGAACCTTCTGAGGGTTTGGTGTAGGACAACCCTCGTAAGGGAAAAACCCCTCGTCATTAAAGAG